TATATATATATATATATATATATATATATATATATATATATATATATATATATACATATACGAGTTTATATGTAAGCTTATTCTTGTTTTGTTTTTTTTTTTCTTTTTTATTTCAAAATTTTAAATAAAATTTTATTAAATATATTAATAAGTTTATTACAAAATAAAATATTTTTATGAAAATAAATAATGAAAAATAAAAACTTATTATAACTATATATTATATTATAGTGTAATTATATTAATTATTTTTAGTACACACATAATTGCTTTTTTGTTTCTTTAATTTCTTTAATACGTTTCAATTTGGCCAAATAAGTGTTTGGGAAATTGGCAAAAATATAATTAGCCATTTTTATCCATGAGGGATTCACTAATGATTTAATATAGTCTATGAATATTTAGATGCTCGTAAGTGAGTAGATTAATTTTGTATAGTTACATACTCAAAATAATTAATGAATGAATATAATGTGAGATTAATTATATTCTAAGTGTGCCCATGATGTTGAGAAAGTAGATGGGAATAGGTTTTGCCCCATGTTGAAGAATAATGTCAGTGTAGACTAATATGAAAGAAATTGCACTCTTAACAATTATATTAAAATGCATTATAAAAACTTCTATATTTATTAATAGAAAATGGTTCCCACCCCTACAATTACGACTCTTGAATTAAAAAAAAAAAACAAAATAAAACAAAAATAATTTACTTTCATTAATTAATGGTAAATTAGTTAACCCCATCATGAGTTAATAAGTTACATTAGGGCACAATAATTGTAGTAATTTCCAAAAAAAAAAAAAAAAAAAAAAAAAAAAAAACTTTGGAGTAATAATGGTCATTAAACAACTAGAGATTGTTAAGTATAGTGTTAAATATAGTATCTACCAACCAATTTTGAAACTCACACACTACTAACCAAAAGTCAAGTACTTTAACCACTTTAAAGGAAAATTAAAGCCAAAGTCAAATATTAATGTTGCTTATCCATTCACATCCAAATTTTCACTTTTAGTAAGTCATCGCGGTGGAACTTTAGGCAGTATTTGGGAGAAAAGATCAAAGTTCAAACTTTGGTAACACCAGTGTGGTGATTATGCCTAAAGTGGACGGATCCCTTGTGCGCACCAACATTTGATCCTATTTGATAAGCCATTGTGTCACCGTGATGGTAAAATCCTTCATCCATTAGTCTTCAGAAACTGTTTTTTAATTCCATGGCAGAAGTTGCATTGTATGATACTATGATAGAGAAGTTTTGTATAGTTATTGAGTAAATAAACGGGGAAAACAAAATAAGATATTTGTACTTGTAACAAATTTTGTACAATTTAATTTTTTTTTGTTTGTGTGTGTTTTTTGTTAACTTTTAATTCGTCGGTCAATGGCTATGTTTGGCAAACCTAGTTGAAAAGGTAGCTGAAAGCTTAAAAGAAGCTGAAAGCTGAAGCTATAAGTTAGAAGTTGAAAACTGAAGAGCTCTTAGTGTTTGGTAAAATTAGCTTTTTGAAACGCTACTTAAGGTAGCGTTCTAAAATAAGCTCTTATTTTAAACTACGAGCTTATTTTGAGAACATTACCGAACAGAGCTTATAACTTATTAGTAACTTAAAATAAGTTATAAGCTTCGTCAAACAGAGCCCTGATTATCTTGAACGTATTGTATGAATTTCAGCTAATAGGAATGGATGACTCAAACAATTTATTAGTTAGGTTTAAAAGGGAAAAAAAAATCATTTCAACTGGGTTATGAAATAACAAATAGTGTAATGCATATTTAAAAACATTAATGTATTTTGGTTAGGGTTGGCCCAGAGCATGTGCCAATTGAACACTCGCACAGTTGCACAGGGACACCAATTTTTATACTACCACAAATATAGGATACTGTGATTGGAATATTTCAATTTTTCGTTCATTTTTCCAACAATGTAGATTTGGCGTTGAATGAACTTGAATATGGCAAAGTTATTGATCTTGATCTTAAATTTAAAGCTTTGTCTCTCACTGGTCAACTAGAAAGTATTTGATAGCAATTTCACTTAGCTTGTAGAAATTTTGTGTAAAAAATGACCGACACTTCATTACATTTAATTTGAATGGAGGTATTTATAGATTCTATTAATTTTTTCGTTGAAGTGAGAGAAGCAAAATTCAAACGGGTAGTCTTTATCTCTTGTGTAATGATCAGTGATTATGGCGTGTTAAGTTGCCCATGTCAGATTTTTCAGTTGTTACTTCACTTTTAGTTCTTGAAATTTTGACATTTTAACTTGCTTTTTATCTTGACCAATTTTAAAAAATCTATCTCGACGTATGTACCTATATAGTATATACATTGAAATCTTGGTAATAACATTCTCTTTGATAATCATGCAATTGGAATATGCTCAATCACTTTACTGACAATGTCATTGTGCGGATTGTATTGCAGTTGTCCAGATGGTAACTATGTCATTTATCAGATTAAACTTTGGGGTGTTTGTGTTTTATGACTTTAACTACAATAAGCTCCTCGAACAACCTTTTGGATTGGATGCTTTACTTAAAGTCTACCCAATTACCATGAAGCTTAAATTAACTATTCGGTTGATTTACCTTTCGTGAGTCCTTATTCAATGAAGCCATTGAACCATTCAGTTATAATACTATTCGGCCCTTCCATTTTTTGGTATTTGTATCTTCCGTGTCTTCAACTCTTCGATTTTGAACTCTTCGGCTATTGGCCATTCGCTAAATTTACTTCTCAGATCTTCAAACTATTAGGTCCAAAAAAAAAATTCGTTTAGTTCTACTTTGTAGATTGAACTATTTTTCGGGTGATATAGTCGTTCCTTAGTAGAACTTTGTAGATGTTACAATGAGTAAAATACTAAGTATAAAAATATATAAAGAGTTAGGGACCTAATTTCTTAGTACGTTTGGCATTAATCAAAATCTAATACTCCGTACAAATAGTTCCTAACACTTTCATAAAGAATAATATATATATATATATATATATATATATATATATATATATATATATATATATATATATATTTGAAAATTACACGCTAGAGTTAAAATTGATCGTTGACACTTAAATTTTGATAAATATTGATTATTTATCAATATTAGTATATTTGAATATATTTATGGATAATATTGATATTATCTAATTTGTTAATTAGATAATATCAAAAGAGTTTGAGTTTATCAAAACTCTTCTATCCTACAACTATAAATAGGACCTTTCATTTCTATGTACAGATCCTAGGAAAAATTCATAGAAACATCAAGCTTATTCAGAGATCACAATAAAAATGTGATCCTGAAAGTAAAAGCCCCTCTTCTAATCCAATCGTGCCTGTTGATCCAAACCTCCATTGAAGACAAGCTATACAAGTTCTTCTTTGCCCTTCAATGGTGGAGTGTTCAAGGCATCCAATTGAACAATCAGAGGACAACACGAAGCTCTTTTACACACAACGCATTGATAGTTGACATGTAACCCAGAATTTTGAATATTAATATATTTTATTCAATTTTCTTTGTTCACAAATTGGCACGTCCAGTGGGACAGCTCTGTCTCTCATCTCTTCATATAGATACATACCATTCAACCGGTATGGGGGCAAACTCCATATGAAATTTGAAATGGAGGAGGCTAAATGATACTCCTTGACACGAGTTAAAACGGCTTCATATCCTTTAAGGCTCCTTGGCACGAGTTGAAAAGGCCTCATATCCTTCAAGATACTCCTTGGCACAAGTTGAAACGGCTTTATATAAAGTTGTAGTGTTGAGACTTCCTTGCACTACATACTTTCGAGTGGTATATGCTCTAAAGTAGCGTACAAGCATGTCTCGAGGGGACATTTGTTGACGCTTAAATTTTGATAAATATTAATTATTTATCAATATTAGTATATTTGAATATATTTATGGATAATATTGATATTATTTAATTTGTTAACACGGAGATCTTTTACACACACCGCATTGAGATTTTTTGAATATTAATATATTTTATTCAATTTTCTTTGTTCACATTGACAAAAACAAAAGTACAAAACTGAATCTCACTCCCTTTCTTCCTAAATCCGGATCTGTTTTGTCACTAATCATATTAGATAATACAAAACTAGTTTAGCAAATTTTAAGGAAAAGAAAAATATAGTTATAGCATGCTTACCACATGTATTTTGAAGTCATGTGTTTTCAATTGCTGAACCTACTACTCCAAGGTTTTGTTTTTTGTTTTTTGTTTTTTTTTTTTTTTGTTTTTTTTTTTTTTAAAGATCTTTCACATTTGCAGCCGAAATGAAAGTATGAAACATTAGATTGGTATCCTCTTGAATTCCAACGTCTACCTTCTCTGACAATCACCCTTATATTTATCAACCAACCTAACAACTCTTATCAAATTAAAACAAAATTGTGTGGTGGAAATAAATTGTACTTAATACATTGACTAATTCATATATCTTAATTTTGTTTATATAAATAAGTATAATAAATTTTTATTTAAATGATATTTTGTGCAATAAAGTTGTGAATTAATTAGACAAAATTGTTTTCGTTGAACATCTCTATCTAATAAAGAAGGCTTAGCTTAATGGTTCATTAGACCATATTTGGAATGAGAGACCAATGTTTGAATTTCGACGGCGACAATATGAGGATTATGTCTAAAGTGGACAAATCCTTTGTGCGTACCAGTATTATTTGCCCTGTCTGAGCCATTGAGTCAGAGTGATTAAGCCCTTGGGGTTGGGGATTCAACCTCAATGTACCAAAGCAGAGAAAAGAAAGAGAACCAATGCAAAGGCAGGAAATAGGATGAAAGAACAAAGAAAACATTGAGGAAAACAATTACTTTGATACAAATATCCAAAAAAATTAATTTGTATTCTAAACACCCTTAACATTTCTAACTTCTTGTGCAGTTTTTTCCCCTTAGAGAATCTATCTTTTCACTCTAATTACTTGAGGGAACAAATGGGGAATAATCTTAGACATTTGATGAGAATGTAGAGTGCACAACTTTGTTTTGTCTTCCCATTAGCCAACTCAAAGTTCTCCTCCCAAAAGAAGGTGAAGAATTCACAATATGGGAGCCATCATTTTCCCCATCACAACACCCATCAATGCCAATCTCACAAACACTTGCACCACCACTCCCGCCGCCGCCCCCGCTACCCTTGGTCCTCGTGCCGCCCTCCGCCGCTGAGTGCGCGGGGAACTGAAAGGGCGGCGTTATCTCAGAAACACTACTGTCACCCCCGCCGCCGCTCTTGGTCTTCGTGCCCGCCACGGCCGAGTGTGCCGGGAACCGGAATGAGACGGCACGCCGCTCTTGGGCGGCGGCGGCGGAATTAGGCCTGTTGTTGTCCTTATTTCCCCTGAGCCAAATCTTGGAAACTGAAAAGCTCTCTCTTTTACCTTCTTTAACTACCTTGTTGATCATCTCATTCCCATTACTACTAGTAGCACTAGTTTGAATCTCAGAAAACCTAAAAGCTTCAAACCCATTGAAGTCTCTTCTTGAATCACACCCCCCACACTCAGACAGTGCAACCCTGTGGCCTGGTGTGAGTGGCTTCTTCTTGCTGGACTGTTTCTTCATCCTAATGGGTACATGAAGAGATGACTTCTCATCCATAATATAAGCAAATGACCCCATAGAAAAACACCTTCTTGAATCAATCTCACTATCATTCCCATTCCCAATACTACTCCCCTCCCCACAAGAATCCACATTCCTGAACTTCCCAAGCTTCACCTTCACAACTTTTTCTTGATTACCCCCCTCTCCCTCTCCCTCTCCCTTCTCTTGAAGAATCATCTCACATGATTTCTGCAAATCATCATCATCAAAACTATGTGAATTCCCCAAACCACCCTCCCCCATTTCCCTTGAGCTCTCACCCCCAGATTCAAGAACCAGGACTATAGGGGAATTAGCCATGGAGTAATCAGGGAGGAGGCTTCCCCTGCAGAGAGGGCAAGTGGAGTGGGACAAAAGCCAAGTGTCTATACACTCCATATGGAAGGCATGGCTGCATTTGGGGAGCAATCTCAGCTTATCTTCCCCCTCAAACTCACACAAACACACCGCACAATCAAAGTGGTTCTGGTTTTTCACACCAATTATGGCTTTGTAGTTGAAGATTGGGAGGGTGTCAATGAAAGACTGGTCCACCCCAGCATCATGGAGGTGGAAAAGCTGCTGCAATTGGCCTTGGAGAGCCGTCAGATTGTCCACTTCATCTGGATCTCTACTTGAAGGCCTCAAAAGATATCTAACCAGGAGGTGGAGCAGCCCGGATATGAAGAAAATTATCGCAAGAATTATGATGATCAGAAGTATACTCGGACTTACCTTGTTGTTCAGGCTAAACCCGCCACCGCCGCTGCGCGGCGGTGGCGGTGGCAGCGGCTGAGGGAGGAAAATTGGCTGATGAAACGGTGAAAGAAACGATTTTTCATCCATTTTGCAGATACCCAGTTCTTGATTTCTCAAGAAATCAAAGAAAAAAAAACTGGGAAAAGTTTCTTAGGCTGGAATCATCAAGAAGGGAGAAGAAGAAAGGATTCAAAAGGTGGAAGCTAGGTAGCAGCAATAAATGCAAAGGAAAATGCAATGGTGATAAAGACTCTCTAGGTGGTTTCACTTAATTTTTACTTCATAAAGAAACCTGCAAAGTCAAAACTACAGAGAGAAACAAAACATTAAAAAAAAAAAATTGAAAAGATTCAAGAAAAAAAAAAGTAAGAGAGGGCTGGTGGAGGAAGTTAATGTGGGATTCAATTTAGCAATAAATTAATGGTCAGAAAGACATTATTGTGGGATGCTGGCATGAAATCTGGCATCCCCATAGCTTCAAGATTTGAAATGGGAATAATTAGTGAATTTGTGTGTCCATCCATGTGTTAGGAATTGTGAAAATAATTTTGTTTTATGGCTTTCTGGTTTGGTTGACTTAATTTACTTGGGGCATCAACTTCAATATGCATTTATTATTATTAAATTGAATTGGTGATAATATATGGTAGCAGGGGCCAGGGAGTAATGGTTTAGCAGTAAAGAATTGAAGCTAATTCTGTAGTGCAACCAAATGGCCTGGCCTGTTTCATTTCCCACTCATTTTGTCCCATTTTCAAATCTTATCTTGTTTTTTCATACCAAAAAAAACAAAGGGGTTTCTGATTACATTCTGTTTCCAGAGCTTCTGTTCTGCTTCCATGAGACTCACACAAATTATATGGTTAATCTACTATTACTATATAATTAATCTGGACAGTTTCCAATATACATATGAATTTTCATTTATATTTCTTCATTAAAATATTAAATTTAATGCTTATTATTATTAGTATTATTAGAGAAAATGGTCAAATAGGTCATCAAACTTTACCTAAAAAGTCAATTAGGCCTCAAACTTTTTAAAGTTACAATTAGATACATAAATATGTCAATTTAGTTCATCAAGGACCAATTACCTGTTAGTGACCTATAATACCAGGTCACTAAAATTCCGACGGTTATTCGACAATAAAAATCCACGACGGAGACCAAGGCTTCGCTGGAGAATGTGTGGTCATCTCTGGCAAAATTGACATGTTTATGTACCTAATTGCAACTTTAAACAGTTTGAGGGTCTAATTGACTTTTCTGGTAAAGTTCAAAGGCCTATTTAACCATTTTCCCTTATTATTATTTTTGCCCAAAAAATCAATGCTCCCACCACCGATGGTAACAGAGGTGTGTCATCACACTACATAGTAGTAGTTATTATTATTATTATTATTATTATTATTATTATTATTGTTGTTGTTGTTGTTGTTGTTGTTGATATTAATATAAGCGATAATTAACAAAGACAAATTTGAAATATTGAAAGTTAATATTAAATTACCTGAGATGAAGGAGGTAATCAAATTACCTCGAAATATTATCCCGACATCGATTTTGAGGTAATATAAGATTACCAAGGTAATCTCATAACTTGAACCAAATGAGGTGATATATCATTACATAATCACATTACCTATATAATCTTAAATGACTTGAACCAAACCCTCCCCAAGGTAATCTTAAGGTGTGTTTGGTTCGCACAAGAGAATCGGAATCAGAATGAGACTCAAATATTTGATAATGGTAATGGATATTAATGGAAGTATTTTGCGTGTTTGGCAGTATGGTAGAATTTGAATGATTACCAATATTGTTGTTTGCTGGTTATGTATGACTCTATAATAGGAATAAAAGTTTTAAAAATATAAAAATAAATATTAATACAATTGATCCTAATATAATGACATACAAAGCATCAGTATGAAAAAAAAAATCAGAATAAAAATCTCAAATCACTAATTCAAACTTATAGGATGAATACAATTTGTTTTATGTACTAAACTAAAGTGACGATGAATAGTAGATGAGTGTTAGAGTCCACAAGGCGACCGTGTGAGTACGTAAGAGAAAGGAAAAGCAATTAAAAAGTTACGTAAAAGACGAGAAACTGAAAGTCAAACCAAGGAAAGACCCATTTGGGATTGGCCAGATAGGATACAGTTGTGTGTTTGTTTCAGATTATTCAGAAAATGGAAGTGATGCAATAAACATAGAATATTAACCTAGGCAGCCACAACCCATAATATATGTGCTGACAAAACCTCCCAACAATATTTTTTTTTTATTTTTTTCACACAAATATGTTGTACCTTTTCACTCATGGTCTTGTGCTTAACATTTTCTGCTCCTAAAGGTACGATCTCCCACTTTATGTCTCCATTAGTGATGCATTGTTGTCTTTGACTTTACTGTTAATTAATCACCAATTTTCTTTTTTCAAATAATTGCGCTATAATTGAAGAAGACGTTTATGATGGTTTTGAATTTGTGGGCAAGGTTTTAAATTGTGGTTACAAAATTTGACCACTTTATGGTTTATACAAGTATTTGACAATTAAGTGAGAACAAATTATATTAATTGATAACCAATGACAGATTGTATTGCCAAGGACCTTGTGGTCTAGTGACACCAATTTACTCTCCCATATGATATCATATGGGAGGTTGAGAAAATAGTTATGAACAAATAATGAATTGTAACAGACTTAAAAGGACAAAGCCAAAGAAGCTTCAATTAGACAATTTAACTTCTCATGTTTATGCAATTAAGTTAATTAATAGATTACCTCTAAGTAACATGTAAATTAAAAAATATTTTTTTAATTTAGATAATATAATTATAAAAAAAAAAACCCTCCGGCGGATTCCCCATCCAACCGGACGGAGAAGCCAACCTTGGCTTATCCTCAATGAGAAGTCGTCGATATGATTTTTTTTTAGTTTATTTTTAAACTATTTAAAAAAAATTAATTTTACCTGCTATTACCTTGAATTTACCTGCAAAATAAGCTAATTGCACAACTTTAAGAAGTTATTGGCTAAATTGCATAAAAGTGAAAGGCAAATTATGCCCTGGAAACGTGTTCACCATGAATGGTGAACACGGGTCAAAACGGCGCCGTTTTTACGTATAAAAAAAAATCGCGAATCTGATGTTAACGGCGCGCGTTTGGTCAGATTATGAATTTTCTGTTATGAGATTATGAATGTACTGTAAATTCATAATCTCATAACAGAAAATTCATAATTTCATAACAGAAAATTCATAATTTATGAATGTTGAAGAAGCTTGCGCTGCAGAGGAGCAGCCATGGTTTCGGACGGGAATGTGTAGGCATGGTTCCAAAGTGGATGTGCAGGCATGGATTCATAATTTATGAATGTCCGAAATCATTGCTCACCTCAAATTAAAGTGAAACTGCGAAATGTGAAAATGAAGAAGAAAAGTCATGCGATTAATTAAGGAAAAAAAAAAAGATAACGGTGCACCAACACCGTTGGGACCGTGTTCACCATGGATGGTGAACACGGTTCCATGGCATAACGATGAAAGTGAAGTGATGAAGTATCTAATTGGAGTTTTTCTTAGTTTAGAGAGCTAACTACTCTTTAGCTTATAGTTGAAGGACCTATTTGACCCTTAACCCAAAAATATTTGATAAATTAACTATTTAGGTGGCGTTTGGCTAGATACTTTTCAACTCTACGTACTATTAGATTTCATACTCATTATCATTTTTTTTTTGGTACATATCATACTAATTATCATGTTTGCTTGCTTACTTTTGCAACTCACTTATCATATCCAAATTCTTCAATAATTATAGAACCCATTCTTCTGATCTATCTTCCCTTTTCCTAATGTTGAAAAATAGAATAAAAAATGAAAGAAATAAAAAGGAAAGAAAAATGTCATCATCCAAACTTCCAAATTCCAATGTTCAACTTTAATATATATTCAAATATATGTGTGCGTATATCATGTATTATATATTTTTATTTATTTATGTTTATATTTAATTAATTAATTATTTATTTATTCATTTAGCGCAATTTAATTTCAATTCATATTTACAACCAAAGAGACTTCTTCTAGTAGATATCATTACAATTATCAAATATTTGACTCCAATTACAATTATTTTTATAATATTTAAACCAAACACCCCCTAAGTTTTAACTAATAATATGTAGAATGACATAAATATGAAAAATACTATATGTACTCTCATTTTCTACTCTCAACTTTTACTCTTACACACAAAATCAAAATTACACTCAAAATGTCTCAAAAGGGGTGGACAAGTGAATGAGTTTGATTTTCATACTTGAACGTTGCAAGTTCAAATCTTGTTAATATATTCTCAGTCAAATCGTCGTTACACAAGATCTTTCTAGCGATGTTTACCTCTACGAGTTTTTTCCACTTTTGGTCCTATGACTTTAGTGCCCCCGTCAACTTAGGTTCACAACTTTCATTCCTGACATAAGTAGTGCTTGACTTTGATTTTTTTTTCATTTTTAGTCCTTCCGGTCATCTGAGCGGTGAGCTCCGATCAAAATTAATGAATTGTCTTGTGTATTTAGATTTTAGAAGGGTAAATAAGTCTTCACTATTAATTAAAAATAATCAAAAAAAATTAAAATTAACGAATTGCTTTGTACCCACTCCGCTGCTTCGCCATTCTTCGTCATCAACAACAACTACACTCTTCACAGACACGCAGGCCGTAGCCCCCCTCCCTCTCTCTGTCACTCTCTCCTTGATTAAAACTAGGGAAAGTTTAAAAGATGGGGAAACTTAAATAGGAAAGGGAGTTACATTGTTCAGATGTTTTCTCTACACCTTAAAAGGACCATCAAGTCAAAATCTTTCATTGTGAAAATGCGGGGAACAACCTATACTTGATGGGGTCGCAGTAGTACAATGGAAGGTTTTTGCATGAAATGGCTTCCATTTACAAGGGTACAATATCTTCAAAATTTTATACAGAAAATTGCAGACTCAGGAACCTGAAAACGTAGAGCAAATTGCTTTATGTGCCAATTTTAAGAGAAAGTCAGGAAGTTGCAGTCACAGGTAGAGACACTAAGATTCTGAGATTCAAAAATGCCAGTGAAGCCAATATTATATTTGGTGTTTCTTCATAGATTTCGTTCTGGTGTTGCTGATTAAGAAGGAATTTTGGCTTGATTTGAGTTAGGGTTTGTAGTGGTTTTGTTGCTTACAGTGAGAGGATATGCAGATACGTGAGAAGAATATGAGTTTTTTTTTTTTAAAGTTTCGCAGAGGAAGAAGGAAAAATGCGAAAGAGAGAGTGACAGAGAGATGGAGGGGGCTGCGTTTCTGTGAAGAGTATTGTTGTTGTTGAAGACGAAGCAGCGGAGTGGGGTAAGACAATTCATTAATTTTTATTTTTTTTAATTGATGGTGAAAGACTTATTTACCCTTCTAAAATTTAAATATACAGGACAATTTATTAATTCGATCGGAACTGACCGCTTAG